TGTTTAATCTTTAATCTAACAGGAATGACTGACATTCAAACATACAGAAAAAGAAGTATCAACACGTAAACCACTTATATCTTAAACAATTAAGCGATAAACTGCTGAAAAAATATTTCCCATATATGAGTTGAAATTTGCAATGCATAAACTAAATACTTACACAGATTGCATTTACGACAAAACTTGATTAAACGCAAGTGTTTGAGATGTTTAGTTTAAAATAACACATTTCCTGATAACGCAGATCCTTCACGGTACGGGAAAACTACCTATATTTTAAAGTGAAATAGTATGTAGGCAAACACCAACGAACAATATTTTTGTAAAAAAACAACTCGTAACATAAACATTTCAATGACAGTTATTAAACCAGCATTGAAAATACTTTAAATTGCTAGCGTCGGCTGCTATACTTTTTAAAAATTAAAACTTAATTTCTAAAAAACTGAAACCCTAAACTAAAATTATGGCTTTGAAATTCCCTAGTTCTCAAAATTATCTTTCTTTCAACACAAAAATCATGAAAATCCGTCAAGTGGTTGATTCAGAATCGTGAAATAAAAAACCCTGTTTCGTTTTAATATTATAGATATGAACGAAGTAGGCTAGCCGTTTAATGTTAAATAGGTCTAAATAATGTGTAATTAATTTTTGAATTATTTCTAAAATAATTATTAAAAATTACTAATACCTAGCCTATATAAGTGAAAATAAATATTAATTAAATTGATATCGTAACTTAAATATAAACTTATTACTTGTTATTTCCATTCAACAAAAATAACAAAATAAGTAAAATAACGAAAATAGGAAGAAAAGTGTATTATAATGCCATATTAAATTTAGAGGTAGGCTTATATAGAGCCATGAGCATTTTATAAATAGTAACATACCTTATGTTGACTAATGAAGTTCTTCAAACCTATTTCTTATCATCCAAAATTAATATATGTACATTTATTTACATAACTATTTATATTATCTATTTACAATGAATACAGTATTTACATGCGCCTTCATCTTGTAAACTGGAACGACAAAATTATCATTACAATTTGGCTATTTCAAATGAGGAAATATCTTATAAGATATACCACGAACAAAACAACCTGCGCAGAAACGAAAAGATCACGTGGTTCGCGCAGGTAGGTGGGCCGTACCATTCAAACCTGCGCGGCTCGAAACGGCCGAGGGTTCTTTTGTTTATTTTGTAGTACCTGGGGACCGAGCTTTGCTCGGGAAATCATTAGTATTTACTCTGAGAGAAATATTTGTTCAATGTCATCTATCAAAAACATAATTGTTTATCAGTCTGTTATAATAGTAATATTGTAGTTGACTTTGTTTTTTAAGCAAAATTGATGATTCTCATGTAAATTAATATAGTAATTTATTCCATCTTTAAACAATAAAATATTGTGATTTATTTTTCAAAAAAATAAAAACATCCTAATTTGGCTACATTGTAGTTGAGTATAGACAACATGGCATGCTATAATATTGCAATTTAAGTTCTAAGAATTTCCACACAAGAACTGTAAGCATCTCAATTCACTTTTCCAAATAGTTTTCTTAAACAAACGAAGAAAAATATCACAGTAGTTACAATTAATATTACAGACTGAGGCTGCATTTATTATAAAAACATGAAAACTACAAATTGTTTATACGATTGTTTTTTATAGACTAAAACAAATAACATAACAAACACATAAGAATTCAAATTAGTCAGTTTTAAACCAATTTTAAACTATAAAAATGTAATGGTGATAAGCATTCAACTGTGGTAAAATAGGATACAATACAATTACATATTTTACCTCTGCTCTAGATTCTAATTTGACTATATTCTTCAGATTATCGACAATTAAGTCAACAAACTATTTAATCCAAACTAAATAATTTCAAGTAAGGTAAGCTAGTTATTATGGTACAAATTTAAATATTAATTACATAGACCAAAATGAACTAACATTTTCAATATTGTTCATCTGAATATTTCCATCCAAACAACGTTTTTAGTTAATTTTCTGTCTCTAGATGGCAAAACAACTTTTAAAGAGTTTCTTGTTCGTACTCTGGAGAAAGCTACATAGAGCATCCCATGCATGAATACGGGGTTGTTTAACACAACACCAACAGACTGAAAGGTTTGGCCTTGAGACTTATGGATGGTCATAGCAAAAGCTGGTCGAACTGGAAACTGATGTCTTTGCAGCGAACATCCGAGTTGACACTTGCTCGAATCAAGAGTGACTCTTGGAATGTGTACATCTCGACCAGAATGACTGCCAGTAATTATTTTAGCCTTAATAATGTTCGGACACAACTCCGTGACAATCAGTCTTGTGCCATTGCATAAAACCTCCGTCACGTCTAGGTTTCTGAGTAACATTATAACGACGTTGTTTTTTAGTCGGAGTTCATGAGGTGGTAAATCTGATATTTCAATTGAGTTTAAAAACTCAGTTGGGAATTTGAGAGCTCCATCAGGTTCATCTTTTACTGAATCAAAACTTTTATAAATTGTTTCTTGTCCAGGGATAATTTGGATGATCTCGTTATTGATATTATCAACATCTCTATTTAAAGGTGCAAGGATGGCTCTATCTCTCATAGCATTGTAATCTCTGTTGGCTAGGCAATCGCCATATATTTGTTCAACAATATTTCCATTTGAAATAATGTCATCGGGAATATTTATTTCACAGTCATTGTTGGTGGGCAAATCTCCATTTCCAAGTTGAAGGAGATATCCAGCAAATGCACTTTCATCGAGATTGACTCTCATGTTTTGATGAAGAGAGAAGAGCTTGAAAAACTTCCAAATACTGCAACGTTTTACAGAAAGGTCGATCAGCTCAGATCGATTTGCTCTAGGCTGGACTGGAAGGCATTGGCGGAAGTCTCCTCCTAGGATCATAGTTTTTCCTCCAAAAGGCAAGTTTCTGTTTCCTAAGCTTCGCAGGAGTCCGTCAATACAACTTAGGCCATATTTTGGTAGCATTGGTGCTTCGTCCATCATAAATACGTCTACTTCTGCCAGTTCTTGGGCCTTCTGAGTGCCTGGCTGAATTGATGATTTAGAATCGCTAGTCAATGGAACTTTTAGACCAAAAGTCCTATGGGTAGTACGTCCTTCAGGTAGCAAGATTGATGCAATGCCGGTATATGCCATGCATTTTACATTAAGATTTTTTCCAAGAATTAGATGGTAGAGGGTATTGTACACGTATGTCTTCCCTGTACCTCCTGGTCCATCGAGGAAAAAACACTTGGGGATGCAACTCATCGGGTCTTCTATTGCTTCCATAACAGCATCAACAAAGTCTTTTTGTTCGTTATTCAAATTGCTATATTGTCTGCGACCAATGGCTTCTAATTCGCTGACATTGTGGGTTTCTTCATTTCCCTCGTCTTGAAAATTCTGAATGTCATCCATACCATAGTTTTCCACCCAAAATTGGAAGTTTCGGCCTGAAATAAATAATTATTTTGAGTTCACTTTTTACAAAATCATAAGTATTAAAACATGTAGTATAATTTATTTTAGTCTAATGCTTTCTCTTATTTTAATTTGTTATAATATTCATTGCATATTTTTTATTTTTATTTTGCTTCACACTTATATTTAATAAAATTTGAACAATTATACACTCTAATTTTACAATTATCATAAATTACATTAAAAAATATAAACGTTTCACAATGTTAATAAAGTTTATGGTCAAGTAATCTACTAATGAGTCACAGTAACAAATGCTAAATATTTAATTTAATAATAAGTTAGCATTTTCAATTCTGTACATAATTAGTATGGGTTAGTTTCTCATATTTTAGAACTTATGTGAAGCCTAAGTCTAGTGCGCTTCCAATGTTAGAATTGAAATTTAAGCCATAGAATCAGTTGATCAAAAGTAATTGTATGTTATTGTTATTGATACTATGAGAAAGAATTACCTTCAGTAGCTTCAGTATTCAGCTTATGGGCAATAATACGGTAAGCCTTCATGAGTGTTGTGATCATTTACTGCATGACTTATATTAGAAGATTCATTACAATAGGGAATGTAGTGAAATTGCACGTGAAATAATAGTTAAGTTGAAATAAATTTAGCAGAAATCTACTACCCAATAAATATAAAAGGAGGTGTATAAGTTAAAGCTAATTAAAGATTATTCCATCCTCTCATTAATTTAACTACCGCACTCGACATTGACAGAAATTGGTTTTTCAGTTATAGTATAATATGCTCAATGGTATAATCTGAATGTTAATTTCCTTTGCTCTGTATACACACATTGTTATTTCCTTTTGGTCTGTGTAAACATATGCTACAAATAGCATGGGCAAGCTGAGGTGCCCGTGGGTACAGAACGTCATGTTATGTCTTAAAATGTAAACAAAATGACAACAATGGCGGAATGTTTTCTCATAAGGCCCATGTTAAATTTTCAAAAGTTTGCACTCATATTATGGCAAAAATAGATTTTTCCTGGCTATACCACTGGTCTAGAACTTATTTTTGGCACAGAACTTAGTTATTCCGTAAATATAAACGATTTTGTTAGGGCCGATTCCCAGATCGAGTGGACAAGTATTCAAACTTTACTCGTATTATATATAGGATAGGCCAGGCCTATTTTGTTTAGTTGTCAGTCACAAAGTTACTAAGCATGGGATATGTTTGTGGGTACTGGTATCAATGAATATATCTGGGGTATCTGTGTGTGTGTGCTCAAGTTTAAAAACTTTTATTTGAGTGAAAGATTTAACTAACGTGAAATAACTGAAATGTAAAATACAAGAATTTTAACTTGGACATACAAACATTTTAACTTAAACGAGATAATAATATAGACTAACCAACACGCCGTGAACACAATAACACATAGACGAGACGACACAGACGACAGGGTGGTGTTCCGAGCGAGACGGCTTCGTGCGGAGAGCGGGCGGAGAACCGAAACCGAACCGACTCATTCAATCCAATACCGTCTTTCGTCTCGTCTTTAATCTCAATTCTCAAAGTAGTGTATTGTTTGTTAAATAAATAAAATACTTCATTTATTTTATAGTAATAGTAAGTTAGTAATCGGAATTTGATGGGAGGTGCCCTTCTGAGCAGATAAAACGTCAACTAGTTCAACTATTTGCATATCATACTGATTGAGGAATTTAGTGACTACATAGCCTAATTTGAAATTGATTTAGGCCTACTAACTAACTAGGCTATAACATCGGTATAATGGTGAGTATGCCAACATAGTTTTTTAGAAAACTCTTTTAGGCAATAATAATTTTATAATGCTAAACTAAAGTTAGGGTAAACTCGTTTCAATTTCAAGATAACAACCTAAAATAAATTTGAGGTTTATAAAACATAACTAGGCCTAGCTATCACTACATATTTTTTAATTCTTCCTAATATAAGGCATGTAATTTTTTAAAAAATTCAAAAAAGTTCATACCCAATTACCCCTAATACCCAATTCCCCCCTTCTACCCTAACGTCAATTATAGTAGACTCGTTAGAACATTAGACTTACAAAAGCAAATAAAACTTAAAACAGATGTAACTCTGTTTATATTTCTGAGCGTGGAAAAGTTTTTGCACTGTTATTTTCAGCTAGAAATCTAGTCTCTGGTGATCTTACCACATTATGATAAGTTAATCCAACATAACCACCACAGCGCTTTTTAAGGCTGGCCTTTGGATAACACCAAAGTACCAGATGATTATCACAAACAAGGTAAGGTAAGTGCCCCAAATACCGACAATGTACTAAATACCGACACAGCCACATTTCATAACAAAACATAATGTCCTTGTCGTCTCTACCGGCTATATTGTAAGCCAGATGCGTTTGCGATGTTTTTTTCTACAAGTAAGAAGAAGAAGATATGAGTTCCCTCCTTTTCTGAGTTCGTTATGACAAGTTTCGTCTGCCGGTGCACGACTACGGTGATTTCAGGTAAGAATCTTACAGGTTTTCACTACGAACATTGGGATTTGCTTTAGCGAATAAGTAATTTGTCATATATGTGTTAGTATTAACTTTAATATTTATGTGAATCTAGATACTTAGGTTTTTAAATGTGTAATTCAAATCTTGCTTTTAACGGTTTCTTGTAATTTTTTGGCCGGTGTCGGTATTCAGAGCAAGTTTTCGTCATTTTGCCAAATACCGACATGGCGTTGTCGGTATTATTTTCATGAATAATTTACGAAAAAAAATACCGACACTTGACTTAAAAACATGTTTTGCTATCGTATTTCATATTTATAATCATGTATAGCATTTTAATATGCTGTGGTCTTAGTCGTTTTTGTCCTTTTTCTAATCACGTTTTATTTTTATTTTTTAGAATGCCTCCAGCGAAAACGCCACCCCCGAAAAAAAGGAAGCAATATGCAGACGAGGACATGCAAAATGCCATTCTGGCTGTAAGAAGTGGTGTGGAGACAACTTCGTCGGCGGCCAAACGTTTCGGTGTTCCTCGAGTGACCCTTCTTGACAAGATCAACGGCCGCTATGAAGAGAAGTGCAAGCTGGGGAGAAAACCTCTTCTGTCAGACGTCGAAGAGGAAGTTTTGGTCCAATGGGTTCTGGCTTGTAAAACAAAAGGCTTTCCAGTCACTAAAGAGCAACTTATATTCAGTGCTGGTCGCATGCTTGCCAAATCAGGAAAGCCGAACCCATTTGTCAATCAAAAGCCTGGTAGACGTTGGTACGAATTGTTTATGGGCCGCCACAAGAATCTGGCAGTCCGGGAGTGCCAGACTCTGACAACTTCCAGAGCTGCCATCACTCAAGAAAGTGTGGCCTCTTGGTGTGCCGAAGTGAAGACCTACTGCCAAGAAAACGATTTGATGGACATATTCCAAGACCTTCGTCAGGTTTTTAACTGCGACGAAACTGCGTTCTTTTTAAGTCCCAAAACGGGGAAAGTTATTGCAGCCAGAGGGGACCGAAGTGTGTACAACATATCTGGAAACACAGACAAGGAAAACGTCACAGTTCTAATGACTGTGAGAGCAGATGGGGAGGTAGCACCACCAATGATTCTATACGCTTACGAGAGAATCCCTTTGCAAGTAGGGATGGCTGTGCCAGATGGGTGGGGTTTGGGGAAGAGTGAATCAGGTTGGATGACATCTGAAGCTTTTTTTGAATACATGGCCAACACATTTGAACCTTACCTAACTGCAAATAATATTCCGAGACCTGTGATAATGTTCATGGATGGCCACGTATCACATCTGTCTCTTGAGCTTAGTGAGTTTTGTACCTCAAAGAAGATTGAACTTGTCGCCCTTTTGCCCAATGCTACACATCTGCTGCAGCCTCTAGACGTCGCGGTTTTCCACCCACTGAAAAATGCGTGGAAAAAAGCAGTGTCCCAATGGAGGTTTGACCACTCCTCACAAAAGCTAAAGAAAGAAGACTTTCCTCCGATGCTGCAGTCAGTGATTGAAAGGACAATCAAGCCAGAAACCATTCAGAATGGTTTTAAAACATGCGGTCTAGTTACGTTAGATGTCAATGACATTGACATGACCAAAATTGTAGGTAACTTGGCCCAAAACCCAAAACCCCTAACACAACAGTCTAATGTAGAAACCGAGAGAGTAAACATCTGCCTCGCTCATCTTGAGAAGAAAATAGGCCATGACAGGTTAAAGGCGTTTAGACATGGTGGACCTATAAAGCGTCGTGATGAATCGCTGTATGAAGTGTGGAGGAGCATTCGGCAAGACCTTAAAACAAGCATTGACCAAAGTAATTGTAGTGATTCTAACAAAACTACAAACTCTGTTGAGGAACATCGACCTCTTGATTTTGTAAATAGTACCCGCATGGATATGGAAGAGGTTGTCTGCAACGACCCAGACGACCCAGATGATCCAGATCCAATGATGCCCACAACAATCCAACAAGAGCCAAACGTCCTCATCGATTGTTCATCAAATATTGAATTAGAGGAAGAAATATTTGTGGACGAGGGACTTTTTGAAGATCTAGGATTGGATGTATCAATGGGTTTGGAACTCGATCTCCCTGTTACCGTGGTGTCCGAACCTGTTCAACAAATCCCTGCCAACATTGGATCGACCCCACCTGTAACATGTGCCAGGGCAGTTACCCCTACATCTCGGCCATCGACATCTGTTCAAGAAGACGCCCAGCCATCTACATCTGCTGTCCAAGAGGACACAAGCAGTATTCCGTCGCCCTTCAAAGACTGCGTATTTTGGCCTGGGCCCAAAAAGGAATCTGGGATTAAAAGGAGGACAAAAACGGCAAAAGTCCCTTCAGTAATAACATGTATAAAATGGAAGGAGTACCGAAAGACATTGGTGGCTGAAAAAGAAAAAAAAGAAAAGGAAATGGAAGAAAGAAGACAAAAAAGAAGAGAAAAACAAGAAATGAAAAAAGTGGCCATGAAAATTAAAAAAGAAAAGGTCAGTGGGCCTAGAAAAAAGACTGAAAAGGAAGATGTTTCCCCACTTTCGTCCGACTCCGAAGATCTAGGATTGGATGTATCAATGGCACCAAGTGCATTCAACATCGACAAGGTGCCTGTGAATCCGAAGCTCTGCTTCGAGGACTTTAGTGTTGGGAAGTGGGTGATTGTTCCATATAAAGTCCTGAACAATCAAGGCACCAAGCGGTACATAGGCCAGCTACTTGATGTCAACGGCGAGGAGAAGACTGGCAATATACAATTTCTTGCCCAAGTAGGAGAGACATTCGTTTGGCCAGAGAATGACGACGTCGACGAGGTTCCTCTCGACGAAATTGTCACAATTTTAAGTGAACCAATTTTTGATCGGCGTGGACATTATAGATTTCAGTTGTAAGAGATAGAGAGTGTGTGTGTTTGCTTGAGTATTTTAACATTTGTACAATATTTTAAAGCATTCTAAGATCTGTGTGTGTGTGTGCGTGTTTTATTTTTATATTTTCTATTTGTATTTGTTCTTCTATTTGTCTGTGTATATTTCTGTAACTGTACTTCTGTAGCTGTATTTCTGTATATGTATGTATTTGTATTTTCTGTATGTTTTTGTAAATAATATCTTAATACTAAGGGTAGGCCAATCCAAAATGTAAACTTAAATACGTCAATGGTTTTAAGTTACTTTTTCATGTTTCATTAAATACTTACTTGTTCCAGTTTTATTGGAATTATATTTTACCAAAGAAGTCATACAGTACTATAATTGAATAAGTTAAACACAGAAACTTGCGTAACAGCTTATCAAGTAGGCAGCTCCAGCTGTAGACAACATTGCCAGCGTCAGTCGCGTCGGCTGCTGCTGCTGCTCTTACATCGTAGTGAATTTTCATCAGATGTCGATATATGTTTACAATTTCGCACATAATTAATACAGAGACTACTTAATTTACATTTGCCAAACATAAACAAATTTTTACGTACTTTGTCTAAGTGGTTTTCAATAAAATTGGGAAGTAAGTTACCATAGTTACCGTAAGTTGGAGAATGTTCAAGTCTTAACTTTTACTTTTTGGGATGGATAGGGACAAAATATTGAAATAAAGTTGTGGAATAGGTTAAATGAATACACAAACTTCAATAAAAATACTTTATTATGATGATAATGTTCCTGTTCTCTCTTAAATTGGTGTTAAAATGATAATGTTGGTATTTAGGACATGAGGTGTCGGTATTTTGTTTCATTGCTGTCGGTATTTCCAGAAAAGTACAAAGAGTGTTTCCCCAACTTTAAGATGCTTAAAAACTGTTAATTGGATGTTTTTCTTTTATCTATTTATGTAATCTGAGAGTTTATATCATGGCAAAATTATTAACTCCATAATACTCAAGCTTAACATAACCTATAATTATTTATTTGCAGATGTAAACTTGAATTGAGTCTTAGGGTGTTGGTATTTGGGGCATTTACCTTAGGCTACCAATGAAAAATTAACCTATTTCATAAAGCTCAAGAAAAAAAGAAAATACCCCCGCCGCAGCAAACCTGCAGACTAAGCGAATTTCCATTAGTAGTGATGTTAGATACCGTGATTTAAAAATATCGGTGACTTCGTTCCAGTGACAAAGAAATATCGGGGGAAAATATCGGTGACTGAAATATCGGTGACAGCTTTTAAGACCGCACTGGTTTGTCACTGGGGCATTTACTATCGATGCTGTTGCGATACGTCCCTTGACGATTTAGAATCAGCTGTTTGTCACTGAATTTTAAATATTTTGGTCAAT